TTCTTTGAGATGGCCATTTCTGACCACCGCTCCTACCGCCTTCGGGAAAGGGAGTAATAGCCAGTTGAGGAGGAGAGATGCGGCTCTCCTCAACTCTGCTGGAGTCTCCCCCATCTTCACCACCTCTACGGGGTGGCTTAGCCCCGAAACCAGCCGGCTCGGGGCGCTCCAGCGGCGAGCGCAGGCAGAAACCGCGCACGATCGCGGATTCCTGTCTGTCACCGAAGCCCTTCAAACCGGAAATCGATACCTGCTCTTTCTTGATAGCTACCTTAAGAAGACTGAATCCATCAGAGTCAATATATATATACATAGAAATATTAAATTCCTACATTCTACAGGAAGTATCAGTTACCTGGATGAGAGATTGTCCTATTTGCTCAGAAATGCTTACCAATGATATAGTTGACACATCCGTCTGTCCTGATAATATCTCCTCAGCACCTTTTGCCCTACCTCCAATGGATATCATGGAAACACCACCTGTCATTTCTTCAGTGGGCACAATGAGAGTATCTTTTGTTGCTTCCTCTTTGGTTATCATGGCAGCACTTTCCTCTCTTTCCTCAGTGGCCTCCATGTCACTAATTGTTCCCACTTCCATAGCCAGCGTAGAAGGAACTCCTCCTGCTTCTTCTGTGGTTATCAAGGGAGTAGTAACTGCTCCTTCCTCTGTTGCATTTTTGTCTTCTGGCTGCAATGAGTGAAACAAACTAAATGTTAACTTTTGTATTTTGTTCTGCTGACTTCTAGCACAATCTTGTTTTCCATTGTCTATGACTGGAATCCCACTCAAGTCTTACGCTGCCTCAATATGGAAAAGCAATATTCCTGGCAGGGAAGAGCAAAAAATGCTGGAAGTAAATGCCAACGGTATAGCTATGAGCAGCAACAAAATAGGAAGGTGCTGAAGAAGAATCAACCCTTTAGGGACAATGGAAAATGCACAGTTTCATACTACATGAGAAAAGCCCTGTATTTTTCTAAAACAACTTCATGGATGACTTTTTTTCAAGAAAACTGGTCATGTAATGCTCGATAAGGGATTCTTCAAGAGGTTGGATGGCACTTGGATGCTGCTAAGGAAAAGCAAAGGCTCTTTCAGAATGCAAATGGTATTTATAATGGCTAGATTAGAACTTTCAAAATATATAGTTGTTGACATTGCTAACAAGAATATTCAAAGCAGCAAAGACAGATTATAGTGTGATCATAGAACATAAGATTCATGAATATGGGAAAACTCAACACAATGAAAAATGAATCAACAATATATTGGCACCTTAGGCATGAGCAGACTGAAATGGACAAGGACTGGATACTTTCAATCAGAAGATTGTGCGGTCTGATACCCAGGACATAAAAAACCAAGAAAGAACAGTTCTATATTCATAGTCAGGAGGTCGGCCTTCCAGGTTCAGATGATATTTCATCTTTGATTGGGTAGTTATGTAAATGTTTTCAATAAATAAATAAGCAATCTACAGACTAATGTATGGTATCCTTAATTTAATTATCCAAAGCAGATCAGTGCCCTATCTGGAGATGACAGATGCTCAAGCCAGCATTAGAAAAAGATATGGAGGAAAAGACAGTACTGCTGACATCCACTGAATAATTGAGAAAGTCAAAAAAATAAATAAGTCATTGATTATAGAAAGCTGTTCAGTTGCATTGACCACATCATGCTTTGGAATGTCCTTAACAAAATAGAAATCCCATAACCATCTCATTGTCCTTATGCCCACAGACAGGACAGGAGATATAGAGAAGGTGGAATATAACAAAATAAGCCTAGTTTTAAAGTGAAGGGGGCACAGCAATAACCTGCACTATGCCAATGCCATTATTCTACTAGCAGAACATGCAAATGATTTGCAAACTGTAGCAATAAATATTAAGTTCAGTGAAAAAATTGAAACTTTTTAAAGATTAAATTAATTAAATTAATTTTAAGATTAAATATAAACAGCTCAAACTAAGAGCTGGTATGGTAGCCAACTCTGACTTGACAATGAAGATACTGAAATGGATAATGTAGATCAGGGATGTCAAACTCAATCTGGCCCACAGATGCTTAGATTTGGCTCACGGAGCCACCCTGGAAACAGTGAGTGACTGGCCAGCAGTGCCTCTGCCAGTAAAGACGGGACCCGGGGGTGTGTGCAAGCGTGGCCTACCCAAGCTCTGTTTTCGCTGCAGGAGGCTGTCACGGTCAAAAACGGAGCTCAGGAACCTATTTTCACTGGCAGAGTGCTTGGGCCACCACAGGCACCCCCAACACGAGTGATGTCAAGCTGGCCACACCCACACCAGCCATACCCACTGGCCCCCAAGGTCAAACACAATCCTGATTGGCCCTCAATGAAATTGAGTTTGACACCCTTGATGTAGAGAATAAGGAAGATGATCTTGACAGAAATATGCAGGCAAACGAGGCTGTATGTCCAGAATGAAATAACAATTGGAAACAACTCAAGCAGACGCCTCCCTAATTCAGTAGAGGATAAGAAGGAGGAATTTTGGTATAATCAGACTTGCAAATTCTATTATAACCGATCTCAAGTTTCAGCATCTCTGTGGAATGGAATTTTTGGTATGGGGCTGATAGATGCCTTCTGCCTTTTAGGATTTACTATCAGTGGTACAGAAACCAGCAATCAAGAAATATGCTACAGATTAGCACTTGATAAGGTAGCAACAAAAGGCTTAGAACAGGTATACTTACAAATATCAGAATCATGTAGGGGATGACTTTTCTTGTGATATATGTGGAAGCACTAGTTGGATTTTGAAGAAGTAGAATAGAACAGAAAGAGTATTTATGCTTTTGAATGAAATTCTAAATTTTGGCTCATTCACTCAAATCAGCACTGAATCAGCCCTGACATTGTCATAGATTCAAATCTTTTGTTTATAGTGGCAGACTGGGAATTTGTTTGTTGTAAAAATGGGGAAAACAACCAGTAAGAAAAGATAAATAACATTAAAATGTTCTTTCCAATTTGTAAACTGCTGGCAATGCTCAGGTTTTTATATAACATATTGCAGCACAGAAGCACTCTATAAGAATGTTCTACTTATAGCTTGGACATAGAGGATTAAAAAATAGACTACCTCATTTGAAATCCTGCTGGCTCACAAAAGCCAAAGTAAATGAACCAATTGAGTGTCTTTTTAACACAGATCTTTTTTTATCTTCCTACTTACTCCAACCTTCCTTAGGGCCTTTGGGATGCAAATCTTTATTAACCACAAGCATTACTGCAGTTTCATGTTATGAGAAGACATCCCTAAATTCTGTGAGGAAGCTTCACTGAGATCTAAAGTCCTCAGTTAGTCCTCCTAGAAGGAGGACAAAAATATCTCTTCCACCCAAAACAAAGTAAGGGTGATTCTTAGAAGGTATGTGGTAATTATCCCACCTTACTTTCCTCAGTTTACTATAACCATATATTTTGCTTTCTTGTTCCCCAATTTAAACATGTACTGCATGTATTGAAAACTTCCGATTTAATCTGTATTTAATTTTCATTTTCTCAAAATTTTCACACACATAACATTACCACTTTATCTTCTGCATCTTCTTTCTTATCTTCTTTCTCATCTTCTTTCTCAACTTCTTTTTCATCTTTATTTTCTTCTTCTGGAATTTGTCTACTCTCTGATTCAGCACTTCATTTAAATGTAAAGAAAAGAAATTATTTAATACCAATTCAAGCAGATGTTTAAATCACTCACATAAGAAAAAGAGATCATGCCAATGTACCAAACATAAAATTAATCTTATGCATTATTTATATTCTTCATTCTTTCTTTCCAAAAGAAAGATCCAGGTTGGTCCAGGCTAGAAACGGTGAGACTGTGAGTTTTTAAGCTGCTTTAGCCATGAAAGCCAATTGGGTGACTTTGGGTCAGTCACTCTCTCTGTCAGCCCAACCCATCTCAGAGGGTTGTTGTTGTGGGGATAATAGGAGAAAGGTAAGGTGGACATGATCACAGTCTTGCGTTATTTTTAAAGGGAGGGAGGGAGGGAGGGAGGGA